CAACCTTGTCTAGGAAAGCTGAGACTGTAAATCTCTACAGAAACTGGCAGCCAGTCTCATTTTGCTCCCTCCAAGTGGCTGGTGGGTTTGACTCACTGACCTTGCAGACAACAACCTAATGTCCAACCCGCAGCGCTTCCAGGATTCCTCCAGGTCTACTCACTGAGATTGAGTTGATTCTGATTCATATTGACCTTACAGGACAGAGCAGACCAGCCCCTGTGGGTTTCTGAGACTGAATCTCTACGGAGTAGAAAGTCTCATCTTCCTCCCTCAGAGTGGCTGTGAGTTTTGAACTACTGACGCTGGGGTTAGCAGCTCAATATGGTAACCCACCATACCACCAGGGCTAATGAAGACAGTGATGATTTTGTACTACGCACTACTATCAGCTCCACTTCCCTCTTGTGAATGGAAGAATAGCAGTGAAGTTCATTTATTGGGAGCAAAACAAAGCCTGTCTACTCCCGCAAAGAGAGGTATCGTCTTGGAAACTCACAGGGGCAGTTCTACCCTGTCCTGTAGGGTCTCTATGAGTTGGCATTGACTCAACGGCAGTACATTTGGATTTGGGTTGATCCGTTTATTATGGAGGCATTAGTAATAGGGCCGATGGTGATAACCAATGGAGGAGCCTAAACTCATGAAATAAGCTATTCTTTGTTACAGCGTTTGATCTTTCTGGAGGTTTCATTCTAGGCCAACCAATAGGCCCTAATGAATGAAGCTAACGAGTTTATTAATGTCAATCCCAAGGCTGGAAGCGGGGTTCACCGGTCTGCCAGTGGAGAGGGGCTTCCTTCCTATCACGTAAGTTTCATGAGCGTGCACTCACAATTGAGAGGGAAGATAAATGCAGAGGGCGCATACAAGAAGAATGCATGTACATTCAGACAATCAATTCAACAGATGAATGGGGTGGCAAATCCTATTAAAAAAATAGAACTAGGTTTTCCCCTTCCAAATACATATGCATCTGCATGGAAAAATATGCCTGTTACAGATAAGAGCTGGAGATACAGGTAATCCAGGACAGATAACCCCCTCAGGGCTAATAATGAGAGTAGCGATGATACCAGGAGGGTAAGGGTAAGGTGGGAGGAGAAAAGGGGAACCAATCACAATGATCACATATAACCCCCTCCCAGGGGCTGGACAATAGAAAAAAATGGGTGAAGGGAGACATCAATCAGTATAAGACATGAAAAAAATTTGATAAATTATCAAGGGTTCATGAGGGAGGGTGGGAGGGAGGGAGAAAAAATGAGCAGCCGATACTAAGGGCTCAAGTAGAAAGAAAATGTTCTGAGAATGATGATGGCAACAAATGTACAAATGTGCTTGACACAATGGCTGTATGTATGGACTGTGATAGGAGCTGTACCGACCCCCATTAAAATGATCAAAAAAAAAAAAAAAAGAAGAGGAATGTGCCCATTGATTAAGCTAAATGCTGACCCAGGGATTGGTTTACTACGCAGAAAAGTGGCTTCCCCACTTCCTACCTCACTTTCCAATTCTCTCACATGTTCAATGCCATGAATGCCGTGTGTGTGCCAATAGGAGTATGCTTGCAGCAAGCAAGAGGGGTTAGTGGAAAGTCAAAGAGAAATACACCTCAGGGGAGAAAAAAATCACGTTGTAATTTTGCCACTCCTAGGAAACAATCTCCAGGTTTGGGGCCAGTGATTCCGCTTTGTCACATCCCTAAGTCGAAGCCTAGAGGTCACGCTGTTCAAAGGGAAACAGTTCGTGCCGCCTTTGTGGTCCTAAACAATGAGGGCCTCAGAGTCCGAGAGAATCTACTGGCAGGCCCTGTCACCCTCTGGTGGAACATCAGCAGGAGGCAGACACTGTTTCTCGCCGAGCACATGTGTGGATGGTCCTGATTCTGAAGGACTCTTTTACGTGTACTGCATGCCAACCATATCAGAAACTCACCAGGATCCAGAGAAATGATAGCCAATGTCCCTCTGTATGGAGGCAATTAACAGTATTTTGTGGACGTTCTCAATATGATATTTTGTCCTCCTCATATCTGGGTTGTGAATGCTAACCTCTCTGACTATGGTTAGAATCTCATTAGGGCAAGGGTTGACTTTACTATGTTAATGTAGCAGGATTCGGCCCGGTGGTTTTTTAGTGGATTTCTTTTGAGATATAAGAGATTAAATAAAAGTGAAGTGGGAGTGGTGAGATGTGAAGCCACATGAAACCCCCCCAGAAGCCAAAGGTCAGAAGAGACAACAAGGGCCTTCCTCCAGAGGACAGCAAGAAGCTTCCCTTTGAGCCAGCAACCTAGGGGAAGAGTGCATTACACCACAAGATCAGCAGTTCAACACCACCAACCCCTCTACCAGAGGAAAATGAGGCTTTCTACTCCCTAGCCCCATAGGGGTAGCTCTACAGGGTCCTGTTGAATCAGAATAGACTCATGGGCAGTGGTGAGGTGCTTCTGTCAGCCTGTGAAAGTGTAAGAAAGTTAAATTGTTTGCTAAAGAAATACCTGTGGTGTTTCTGTTGTAGCAGCACCAGATGAAGATAAGAATGGAATACCACCTCCAGTACTACGGGCTTCTCCTTCACCTCTAGAGTCCCAGGGCCATTCCTTCTTGGTGCAGCTCCACTTTCTCCTCTTTCCTTCCCCCCAGTGTTCAACACATTGTCCCAGAGCCATACTGGGACCTCAGAAGAGAAGTCTCCAATCAGTCAATACGTTTTAAAAAGAAGAAAAGAAAAGGCTTTTGGCAAGTGACTGAATTCTTTGGCTTTCTACTTCTTCACCAGTAATAATGTGGGGATAATATTTCCTGAGTTTGATGACTACGCACATTAGGACATACTCTACACAGTTTGTAAGAGGGAGGTCAGAAAATGCTATCCTCCAAGTTGCTAGGCAGCTTTGAATGAGCATTTATGTTTTGGTTCCAGGGAGAAGAATGGTGAAGTCCCTGTCAGGGGCTGGGAGTCATCGCTTCAAGCTACAGGTGTGATGAGTTAATTATTATCAAATAGATTAGCTAATGCTAAGGAAGGTGGGTACGTGGTAGGAGGAAGGAAGGAGACGGAAGACTTCGAGTAAGGATTAAACGACGACGGCAATTAGTTTTACAAGAAAGCAGCCCCGTTTAGAAAAGAAAAAGTAAGAAAGAAAACGATGGGCGTGGTGACAAAGCGAGCGCCCCTCCTCCCCGCTTTGCTTTCTGGAAGAATCGTGCTCAGAGCAGGCGCACGGTGCGGCCGCATATTTCATCTGAATTTCCTCGGGGTCCTTTTCCTATTGAAGTTTTTCACTGTTCCAGGGCTGGCTTGGAAAAGCTAGAAAACTTTTCCCCTGGTGGAGAAAAGGAAGCCCGCACAGGCTCATCCAACCAATGAATTACTCCCTGGCCCGACAGCTCCATCCACTCTCATTCCAGACATGAGTGGAAGCATCTCTCCTCGTGTCCACGGCTGGAATTTTACTCTCCGGTGGCCATGTCTGCTGTCCGAAGCATCGCTTTGGAAACATCGGCCAGCAACAAATTTGGCTTCTTCAAAGCATCGACCCCAGCCTTTCCGTCCTGTAGCAATCGTGTCTCCCGGCGGCAAACTGTGTAAAAGAAACAGTTGCTGAAAAGCGTGAAGAATTCACGAAGTGAAAATCTCCGGGTATGTTGGGGGGCAATGGACACCGAAGTGACCTCCGTCGCTACTTCGTCGTTGGGAGGACGTTTGGAGCGAGGACGAATGGATCTTCGGGGCGCAGGATCCGGCCCAGCGAGTAAAACTCGTTCGCCCTCCGGGGAGAGGAGCTACATCACCACCCATCCCGCCGGGAGCGGGGAGAAGGGGGGAGACTCGCGAGTCCCCAGCTGTTGCTCCCAGACCTTTGGAAAGCCCTTGGCCGCCGCAGCCCCGGAGG